CTAGACATTCATTTTATGGATAACAACTACATCAGGCTTTAGGGCTTCCATAAATGAAGGAAGCCATTGAGCAGCTACCAAAATATCTTTCTCCCCACAGGATCCACTAGCCCTGCTCCTTCTTCAGGATTCTTTGCTTGTTCATCTGGTGTTTGGAGCATGGGATTATGAGGAGACCAAGCATGTCAAACTCTCAAGTTAAGCTGCTTCCATCTTGGTTCATCCTTGGAACCTTCTCAAAATAATGACAGTTTGATTCTGATGGGTGAATTAAGTGCACTATGGCCTGTGAAATAATGACATTCATTATAATTAATGGGATTGTAATATATTTTATTTATTTGATTTACATCCTATCTTTCTACTCCATTGTGTACTCAAGGCAGCTAATAAACATTAAAATGTAAAATAAAGGTTTTAAAGGCCTAAAATTAATACTAATATTAACACTTAAAAGCCTGGCAAAAGAAAAGAACCTCTTTGGTTTTTGTGAAGGTGACACTGAAGACAGCTGAGCTCCATATGCCAGATAAAGGAGTAGGAGCTCCTAAAAAAAGGCTTATCATGCATTAATGATCACATAGGCTTGTAAGAGGAAAGATATCCCTCAGATAGATGCATTCTAAATAGTTCAGTTTTTACAGTTAACAGCAACATCATAAATTATGTTTGATAAACAATTGTGAACCAGTGTAGCTCTTTCAGTATAAGCATTGTATCTTGCAGAAAGATATAACCTTAACTGCTGTTATTGTATCATCCTCAGCTTCTGGACAATCCAGGAATGGTTTTCTAAGGATTGTTTGACAAATGGTATAAATTTGTTTATGAAAGCAAAACTTGTCTTCAAGTAGGTAGTTATCATTGTTAGTCATGGGTTGCATAAGCCTCCATACGTAACCATGTATTTTAACATCAGTGGAAATTTTAGTCATAACTTCATTAAATCTCACTTATTTTGGAGACCCTGCACAGCCCATTCAGGTCAAAGTAGGAGCTTCATACATTCCCCCCTGCCCCTTCCATTACTTTGACGATGTAATTACATCAGTTTAACTATTTCCTGAAACATCTTGTGTCACATCAAAACAATAATGGTAAAGATTTAATCATCATTTTTCAGTCTTCCTCTGTTGCTTGTTAGCAGAGAAGCAGCATTTGTCCCATCCTCCATTCTTTCCCTTTTAAGTTTCATGCTCTTTCCTTTGCTCCAATGACTTAATTCATGAAGGATGACTAGACATGCAGTTCCTTTTTGGCCTTGGTCTTGCTTGTGTTCTACCCTGCCTGGAGAAGGTTACAAGTCCCATATCTTCTCCTATTTTAGCACTGCACAAATGAGCCAAGAAAACTACACCAATGTGAAGTCATCAGAAGTGAACTGTGACTTGAAGAAACCTTTACTTTTTTCTTCTTTTTCTTTTACTGACGGATGAAAAACTAGGATCAGAACCTTTACATGTCCTGTTTCCATCTCTTGTTCCAAGTAATTATTAGAGGTCTGCGATAAACCGAGCTTTTATGAGATTTTAGCTTCCCTTATAAATTCAGCTGGCGAAGTGCAAGAGGACAGTGGTAGATAGAACTGAACTGTGGATTAAAGTTAATAATGTTGAAAATAGTAATATCCAAATGGTGTTATTTCCAATGTTTTTTATTTAAAGCACTGCATTACTGATGCAAGAAAAGGTTAGTGAATTGCCACATTTAGATAGAGAAATCAAAATCTTTTTTATTTACACAAAATAAAAAATTGAAATATGATATTAATCATATATTTAAGATTAATATGAGACTCAAAATCTGTGAGTTGGATGTTTTGATTCAGAACTGTTTAGATCCAGTATGTCTTTTAATTACATTTGTGTGGTATCACATCATACCTAAGCCAAGAACAAGTTGCCATGTTAAAGAAAACCCCTGTACTAGAAAGTCACATGTCTGGGCCTGTCACAATCCAGACTTCAGAATAAGGTGGCTGCATCTACTTGCAAAGCTGATCCATTATTTTTTATCTACTTTTCTGCATAGTAAAGACAAAAATGTGACGTTCACGTAGAAATGATTCAAATAAAAACCTTGCTTGTGTTTTGTACACAAAGATTATCTACATCTGAATTGGTCGTTTTGATTAATAAAAGAGTGAAAGAAAAGTTTAATTTAAACTAATGCTTACCCCACCCAACCCATTATAGAGATCTGCATGAGAATTCCACTCATATATCACTTGTTGAGTCAGGAACTCTTGAAAATAAGCATCCAAGCCTAGATGTGGTTAATCAAGGCTACATGGGTGTTCCCCACAAAAGCAGTCTCTCACAAATTTAAATAATAGGAATGAACATTATTTAGAACATGAAGGAAGGCAAAATTCTCTACAACTACTTTCTGTAATTCTTTAATCCAGAGACATAGAAGCCTATTTACAGCTTGAAATGATACTATGGCTAGAAACAGCTAGCACTGGATATAGCATTTATTTGTTTACACTTCTTCCTTTATTGAAATTTTATCACAAAGGAGTACCCCATTTGGAAGCTACATGGTTCAGTTTTAAGTTATATTATTTTACATTGCAAAAAGTCCTAGGAGGTACAAGTAGGAAAGCTTTCATCTGAAATTCCAGAGAGTTCCTACAAATTAGCACATGTATGGAGTTGGATGAACCAAAGGCTTCACTTGGTGTAGAGGAGATTCCTATATTGCTTACAGTCTATAGATTATTTTCCAATTCAGTTAAATCTTCCAGACTTCAATGCAACAGATTTTGCATGCAACTAAGCAAATTAACTTATGATTTGTCATGTCTGTAATGATGTCATTATATGAATGATGTGATTGTTTCAATGAAGTATTCTTCCATTTACTGTATTTTGGGAATAATGCAAACCTCTCCTCCAAATTAGTCCATTGATATGAGTTTTCACCATAGCAATTTTGTACTCTAACTATTGAAAAATATCTTACAATTTCCTCTGCCATTTATTTACATTTATTACATTTGCAGTAGGGATCTTCATCAAAAGCATTTAATAACATTGCATTGCTGGAAGGGCAGAAAAATCTACTTTCCTTTGGGACACTATAAATCTAATAGTACTAATTTAAATGATGTAATTGTCAGCTAACTTATTCACTGTTCCTTCAAGGGAATGTGGCCATCTACGTACATAATTGGGGAGGGGGAATTACTGGAAAAAATGTAATAGGCATTAACTTCATGGCCATATCCCAAGCAATCAATAACTTTTCTAAGGTAGAGCAATGAATTATTTTAATGGACTATTAAAAGAAGCCTACATGCAAGAAGTAAGTAAGCAAATTCAGCTGCAATTGGATTGTGTTGTCAGTTACCTATTAGGAACCATATCCTAAGTTTCATTTGAAATCGGTTTTACTCTCTTTAAGGTTAAAAATTATTAGGCATTAGTACACTATTTGTATTTGCTTTTCCATAGGAAAATACCAGAATGTAATAGAAAAAAAAAAACTAAAACCCATTAACTGACATCTGTTAAATTAGTCTTCTAGGCTCACGCAAGCAAGCAATTCAGTCTATTTGTGCTGAGTCTAAGCATCCTAATGGGTACTAAACTGTTAATTGAGACACATGGCTAATGAAGTTCTTCTCCCTTGAAGTTCTACTAAAAATTGTCTCTAATCTAGACTCAAGTATCAATTGTAAACAATTTTACTCACATTTTTTTCTAACCGATTTAGAAAAGTGGGCTTTGAACATAAACCAGCCATTTCACTTTTGACAGATATCAATCTGGACCCAGATTAACTCATATATAAATTCATGAGAAAAAACAGGCCTCTTATATTTATAGTTTTTTTAAAATTTGTATATCTATCTATCTATCTATCTATCTATCTATCTATCTATCTATCTATCTATCTATCCAAGTCCTTGTACAACTCATGGTATGTATGTTTACTTAGACATTGAGTGGTCTCTCAACTCCTAAATCAGAAATACATTTGTAGTCATAAATTTGACCCAAAACCTCATGCAGAATAGGACAATTTGGGGGTGATTGTAGCTTATTTGAGGTGTGACAGAGGTATCAAACTCACTATGTCTTGATTGAAAATCCTCCATGGAGCTCAGTATATTAGAAAGGTACTGTGCCAAAAGGTGAGATTTTTAAAAATCATGCATATAACAAAGATATACTTCATTTCTATGTATTGTCAAAATAAATTTTTAAATGTTTAGAAATTCAGAAAAATCACCAATTTTTAAAAGAAAGATTTGAGTTAGACATACTGCAGACTTATGGTTTTGCTCTTAATCTTTGCTTTTGGGACAGATTGCCATCCAAACAATGCTACACCAAATTCTTAGATTTCAGAATTGTGGTGTTGGTGTTGCTCTTGAATGATGTAGTCATCAATTTGCACTAGGATTTTTTTTTTTTTAAAAAAGCTTCCTTTCTTTAGACAGCGTGTAGATCATTATTAGGGCCATCTATGAATTGGCTAAAAACACTGAACACAGGATCAGATCCTTCTTACGATATAGATAGCATAATAGCTACAGGTTGCCTCACAGCGTGGCTTCTAGAAAGGCTAGAAAGTAAAAAAATGAAAGCTGGAATGCTGGGGATTGTAGCTCCTGAAAGGGGAGGGGTGCTGAACCTTTGCTGCCCCACCTCTTCCCCTCCTGCTGTCAATGCCCATGTCCAGAATTCTATGCAAGGCTTTGGGGCACAAACTTCCATAGCAGCTGAATGAAAGAAAAATTCAGCAATTCTGTTGTAGGATACCTAATATTTAATCTCAGTGTTTTAACATAACTGCCACCACTTTCATAGGAAAGGGAAGGACTGAATCACAAAGCTTTATACTACTGAGATGTTTGTAGCTTATACCCTCTGACATATTTGTATTTCATTCTTGCAAGAAGATACTTTTACTAACCAGATAGAAGCCCAACCTTTTTCCATATAAAAGTTTATTACTCAGTCTTCTGAATGCATGCACACATACTTTCCATTCTAAACAACAGCATGATTTTAAATTGGAATACAGCAATAATTGATTCACATAAAATAGGTGCAGAAAACTAAAGAGGATCAAATCAACTTTACTTCTAGCATCTATATTTTATCAATTGCTCATTCAGAATTTGAAGCCACATTATAGAGGAATGGTCAAATTCTTCATTTTTCACATTTATATCCAATGAATAATTGGTTCATTTATTAAACAGACACTGTATGATCTACATATACCAGCCATACTGGTTTCGCTGGTTTCAATGTATGCACAAGGTTATATTAGGTACAGTTATTTAAAAAGGAACCAATATACTATTATTGCAACTCAGTATTGACTAGAGATTTCTAGCCATACCGCTATTGTCATGATACAAGTCTGTACAATATTTCAAAAGTTCATGGCTTGCCCCATGCAATTACACTAAAATTTTAGATTGCCCCTTCTGACCAAACATATTTACCACATATAGTCATATATTTACATATTACAACAGTCATATCTTTGCACATATATACACAAATCATCCTATATAGGTGGGATGGAGGATTTCTTAGCTGATGGAAAGTGTACTGTATGGTAAATGGCAGAATTAATTGAAGCAAACTTTTGACCATGATGCTAATCCACCCATCAATAACCATGCTCACATGTTAGACAAAATCTTGACAGACATAATGTAAGCTTCAATTTTTCCATTTGGATGAAGAAGAGAGAAGAATAAGCAAGCAAGTATATTAACCAAAACTGAACATACAGTTTTTGCATTAAGCCAGCTATTATTCAGTTTATTCCTTCAACAGACCAAGCTTTTTTAAAGCTTCCCTTCTGTGCTCTTCTGTGGTCCCTTTAGGGGTGATTTGTACACTAACACATGGTGGCCTAGGAAGCTTGGAGGGATGCTGAAGTGGATAAGATCTTCGCTCATAATTTTTGTCCAGCTCAACATTATGTAGTTTGTTTTCCTTCAAATCAACAAAGTCTTTCCCTGTGCCAAGAGAAGCTGGGCGCATCCGGTTATTCCTGAGAAAACTTGGAGTGATCTTGTTGAGAAAAGATATTTTGTTGTTCTTAAACTGCTGTCCCTCCTTTCCAGAAGAGATGCAACTACTCAGACCCACACCTGATCGTTCCAATGTGTTAGATTTGAAATTTGCCTGTTTGACACTTGGGATGCTGATCTCAGTTGGTTGGACGTCTTTGCCATCAATTTGGTTAGATTGCTGGACAGATTTCTTATTAAGAGTGATGTCATTCATGTTTAAATTCTCCGTACTGCCAGTGCAGGAAGTCTCTCTTGGTTTTGAGTAAACAGAAGTTTTGATCACTTGGTCATCTGGATTTTTCTCATTATCCAAAGGGAGTCCCAATTTCTCAAGAGCCTCCCTCCTTGCCCTCCCTTGTTCTTTTTGGAGGGCATATGTTTTCTCCATAGAAAAGTCACCAGTTGCAGCTCTAGGCCTCCCACTGGATGGCAATGATACTTTTATCTTATGGGTTGGATCTACATTGAGTGACACAACATTACTTTTACTGGTTTTGAGGATAATGTTTGGGGGCAATTTTCTGGGCTTTGGGGCAGTAGGAGGGCCTTGCTTGAAACTGGAATCTAATTGAGATTCTTCCAGTATATGTTTATGATCAGTTTCTTGATGACTAATAATTTGTTCAGAACTTTTCTTGTTACATTTAGGAGAGACAGATTTCAAATATGATTCCTTTCCAGTTGCTGTCTCCATCATCTCTGGTGAGAGTTCTTGCTGGACAGCTCTTGCCTCATATTCTTCTGTTACACCTTGGTTCCTCTTAAATTCATAATGAGATGTTGCCCCACTTTCAGCATGTATTGGTTCATATCCTATTATGATATGGCTCTGCCTCTGGTCTTGGAATGGTTCAGGGGGTGGAATTACTACTGATTCCAACTCAGAGACCCTTCCCTGAGTAGTTATCTCAGGCAGCTCATTTGGTATATTCAATGTTCCCTGCTTAGAAGACCCCCATGAAGTTGAATGTAATTGAGGAAGAGTTTTTAGATCATCAGCATTAGTCTCTGCTGCTTCAGCAACAAAAATCTTGGAAGCCTGGACAGTATTTTTTGCATTGATATTTTTTGGAAGGCTGTGGTGGCCTGGACTTAAGATGACAGCAGGTATTGAACCAGAGAGAGATGTGTTGTCTTTTGGATCAATTCGTTTATTTTTTTCAAGATATTCAGGATCCAGTTCTGAAACAGTGAAAAAATAGGGATGGGAGAAAGAGAAGATAATAAGTAATATATCTTATTTTTTAAGCAAGGAAAAAAGAGATACCCAAACAAGAGGAAGGAAAGTGGTCAGCAGAGGAAATGTAAGCTAAGGAGGAACAGAACCAAATATTTATTCTGATATTGCACAGTCATTACATTAATTTGATAATCTTTGGTTGAAATAATAAAACATGAATAAGAGATGAGTGAGCTTGAACACAATCTCCAAGAGTTTGAACTTTTCCTCCAAGAGATATAGCTGAGAGAAACTATACAAATGCTGGTTTTCTAGAGTAAATTCAAGTACTTATATTGTTCAGTCATAGAATACCACCTTTTATGCAGGAAGATATGTTCAAAGTACAATTGTATGTGGATGTGTGTGTGTGTGTGTGTGTGTGTATAGAAAAACTAGAGTGTAACCTGCCTTATTTTGATTATGTGAATTTTGACTAAAGATATCTGTTTCTTGTAACTTAATTCCTTACATGTCAAATCAACATATAATTTCACTTCAAAGCATTATATTTGTAAGTTATCAAACCTAAAGACATTACTTAGGACCATCTGTAGTACACTAGAACCTTTTCAGGTACTTTGGATGGCAGACTAACAATATCAACTGTTTTGTGATATTATTCATACTTACACTGAGAATTTATATTTAGTTTTATAATATAGAAGGCACGCTTATACAAACAGGAAACTAAATCTGTGTCTTGTTTCCTCAAAACTGCTTACACTGAGCCAAGAATAACTGTTCAGCTGAAGTATTCCCATTGCAAATCACTTACAGAACAATTCACAAACTTACCTTTGGGGATATCTCTTGTAGGCCATGTCCTTGGAAGTTTGGAAGGTTCAACAGCTTCTGTCTCATCAGTAGAAAGTCCACTGTCTGCTTCAGTGTCTAAAGAATGTAATGTTTCTTCAAGAAACATAAGACATTCTTTTTCTTCCACTGATAGATAATCATAGCCACTGCCACTCTTCAAGACAAAAAACAACAAAAAACTCCTGACCAAAGGAGTCATAAAAGCTTGCTATTAAGAACAATGATTTCATCTCCATTTCTTGTCTTCCATTCAAACTTACCTATGCAATTCCTGGGAAACATTATCCAAACTTTGTAACCAAGGTAAATAAAACCTCTAACCTTTTATCAAAACAGAACATTCATTCATTCATTCATTCATTCATTCATTCATTCATTC